AACGTTTACCCATCGTAATTCAGCAGCGGCATGGTAAAAAAAATGGTTTAACCGTCGTATTTTTTTCAGCATGGTTAAAAAAACTAGCAGCTCTGAGGTAAACTGAAATGTGTAAATGGAAACTGCAACTCAAGTGACACAAGTTAACCCTACTGAGAAGCAGTAGGGTTGACTGATGTAGCACCATTCCCATGTCCCAAGCGGTGATGTCTCCCCGTCCCGTTCCCTGAATGTGCCAATGTCAGAAAAGAGTCCCGTTAAAATCGATGGAACTGCACAGATAAGGTTAGCATGGCCCTTAAAATGCCAGTACCTACTACCGCATTTTTCATTCCCCCGGCCTCAAATGAATTTGGACCGGAGGGGATAGGCCGATTTGGCTTCCGCGTTAACGGCCGCCCCAACCGGTAGGGGCTGGTGGTTTAAACCACCATTTAATCCGACGCTAAATCGACAAACCGAAAAATGAAATTTACCAAACCTGAAGTCTACAGTCCGGCTCAGTTGTCTGAAAATTAGGGCCTCCGTTAACCGCCTCTCCCAAATTCGTCCGACTACAACGTGTCTACTCTATTTTTTGCCACAGCCAATAGCTGGGCCAAGTACTGGTGGATTAAGCAATCATTAAACGCATGACTTGTGCAATTGTCTAAATTATTCGTATTTAAAGCACCACTGCATGAATCAACATCGAGCGGCCTCCAAATGCGGCCTGCACCCAATGACTGGCACAACATATTCGCAAGGTGACGCGTTATAAAAACATGAAAAAATGTTTTGATGTCAACAAACAAAGCACCCTTAGACTCAGATGATTGATAAGATACATTCATAAAAGTATTATCTTTCTAGGAAAGAGAAAATAAGTGGTTAAAAAGAGGGGGGAAACGAATGGACGGGAGGCACGACCACCATGGGAAAGAAGAGTGGAGAGAAAATGTGGAACCATGTGTCTGGGACCACCACGCAACGGTCAGCACCAGGCAATCAACACCCCACCTTGAACACAATGACCGAGTACACTTAAGTGACTTACTGCCATCATTGAAGATCAGGATGCGCCCATAGCAGAACCCGACCAGCGATGCCTGCATAAGAGGAACGAAAAATAACATCACATCACATCACAGTTACAACTTACAAGCCTCCTCAATAACGTTCATCACAATAGCATCTGGATTCGAACTTGTGTCTGTATTTCAAAAGTTCATGGGCGTACCAACTGAGCTAGCCTCGTTGGTTTTGACAAGAAGAGTTTGGGCAGTGACTGAAGAGGTCCGCATGAGGTGGATGGATCAGACATGTAAAAGATTGAGAGAGAAAAGTGGGGATGATGTACGCTCTGCAACCTCTCTGTGTGGCAACACACCAAGGACGTGGGATTGAGAGGGACAAGTGCAGACAATGGACGCCCCACCAACTCAACTTCAGTATGTGCGTGCTCCATCAGCAACGGAGCCGACCAACACGCGAAGGAAGGAGTTGCTTGAGCCGCAAAAGCCAAGGTGCAAATCGAAGCCTGGCTCTCGGGGCTCTCTGTAACAGGTGTGTGTGTGTGTGTGTGTG